CTCTAGATGCAGATACGACTCTCCTGGGATCTTCCATAGGGACGATAACCAGATACCTATGATTCGTTACCAGTTGTGAACCTTTTGAGCAAATCTGGATCACCGTTGACGTTATTGAACAATTCCTGAGCGATGCTGATGCGACGGCTTTTTTGGTCAAAATTCAACAATTTTGCAACGAACCGCCCTGTCACATGTTTAACATAAAAATAAATGTAATCAAAATTACAAATTATTGTAACAAGCTGTCGTTTATGGATGGTATGGGATCTGTTTGCTCAGAACACGAGTTGATATGTATGTGGTGGTCCTTCTTCTGTTGTGTTCTGTGTTTGCAGATCTCTTGTTACTGTCACATGTCATCTCGACCTTATATATTTTTGACACTTGATTCTCCTTTCTTGTTCAATTCAGTTCGAATATCTTTCATTAGAATTCGTTTTCATGTGGGGTTTTTTGATTTTGATGTTGATGAGTGGGTATAAATAATAATAATAATAATAATACCGTTTATTATGCATAAAAGGAAAAGGGTTAGCCAAAGGCTATCTTCCACCCCTCCCAAAAATTATACAGTTAGTATAAGAATATAATTATAAACATACTTATTTACTATCATAACAATAATAGAGAAGATAAAAAATCATACATCAAATAGTTGCTAATAACTCTTAATATTCTCAACATTATTTTGGTCACTGCACTACCATACATTAAATTTTAATTTTTTACATTAGCACTGAGCAGTAAGCACCTGTGATTTTATTTCTTTTTTAAATTGATAAATAATATGATTTGAAAGGGGTAAAATTTCATTCAGATAAGAAGGGGCTATAGAAAAAAAAAACATCTTTGAAATTTGGAAGTACGGTGCCTAGGTATGTTGAATGAGTTAATTCCCAAATTGACCATATGTATGTCAGAATGCCTGCTTAATAAACTATATAAATAACTAGGTGATTTAGTTTGAAGCAACTTAAACAAAAACATTTCTATCAAACATTGGACTCTGTACCTCACATTCAGCTCCTTCATTTTTATCAAAAATGGAGTGACATGTTCACCATATGGTATAAAGCATACGAATCGCATGCAAGCATTTTGTATACGTTGTTACTTCACCGAACAACAATACTCAATATGGGGGTACATAAGAGTTTTAACTAACCTGAGTTTAATTTCTTCTGATAAGTGATACTTGAATTTATATAGCGATTTGAGTTTGAGGAATGATACTTTGAAAATGTTTGTCACATGTTCATGGAAAGACAAAGAGCTATCTATAGTTACGCCAAGATTTTTAGCACTGTCTACCCAGTCAATGTCTGCGTTATCGAGAGTGAGCCTAAAGCTATACTGAGTTTCTACTATTTGTCTTTGAAACCCCATGCATAAGGCCAAAGTTTTATTTGGATTGATTTTCAGTCCATGATTCTCCGAGTATAGGAATGTTTTGTGCATATCTGTGTTTATATTGGCCACGCAACTTTCTGTATCGGTGTTATGAGAAGACAAATATACTTGTATATCATCTGCGTATAGATGTACTTGACAATGTGATAAGAAAGTGGGGTAATCAAAATTAAACACTGAAAACATCAAGGGTCCTAAAGACTCTAAGCCTCCTATACTTTGGTCATTTATAGCTATGATGTTGAAAACATCCTTCATATTACTAAGTATAAAAATGTTCATTACTATTAACATATCATTGTGACCAATTATTCATTAGTAACATGTGATTATTTTCTTTTCTGCATTATAAAAATTTTCTCTCCATGTAAGTATTTTTATACTTCATTGCATTAGCTATTGTTATGTTGTTCTTCTTTTATTGCGACATTTTTAAATGATTAGCTGATTATGAACCTATATAGGTTCGAAACATGATAGTTATAACATTCAAGGGTGATAATAAATTGTCGAGACAACTTTGAGTTTTTCTGTATCGTAAATAATTATTGATGTTTTACATCTGCCAGGTGTCCCGTGACGGCTCACAGTTGATTTGGGTTTCAAACCTGTTGAAAAAAATTTAAATGAAAAATATTTTCCAGCAATGGAAAACAAAATCTTCACAAAGATATTATAGAACGCAAAGACGTGTTTTGTTTTCAGGCAAATTCACACAATTCCTTTCAGAGTCTTTTCACACGGCTACGTTATAGCTTTTTTTAAATTATAATTTAATAAAAACTTCACAAAGTGAAACTGTTATGAATAATGAAGGACTTTATGAATCTCAAGATCCGATGTAATTAAATTTCATACAAAGGAAATTCTGAGACATGTTTCAACGAACTGAGAAGAAAAGAAAGTCCAGATTACTTGCCAAATTTTCCACGAGAGATATCCTTTTCACGAACGCTAATGAATCTTGGCATACAAATCTCGTCAATCATGTATCATAGCAAATTTGAGAGAGTTTTCAATCGATGCAAAAGTTGTTCATAGATTGGATTGCCGTTCTGGAGAGAGTTTGCCGACTTTGGTTTTGTTGTCTAAACCTCAAGAAGTTGTTAACTTTGGAAATAACTCAATTGAAATAAACTCATCACAGTCAAATCAATTCATTGAATCGTATATTCCCATTACATTGAATGATGTGTTTGCTGTTCTATAAGAGAGCTGCTTGATATATTGTTAAACCTTCTGAGCTATAGAAATTGAATTCAAATGTTAGACGTATCTGAATAACACTTGATAGTTTACAAGACCAGGACCCGCGTGTTTCACTATACAGCTTCTTCACCTCTGAAGAACCGACACGTATGTATATAAACAGAGTAAGTGAATGACTGACTGAAGGATTTCATTGTTGAAATTTATCGTGCCTTGACTTAGACCGGTACCCGAGTGACATGGTTGGATGCATGAACTGTATGTTGTGTATCATTTTCGATATCCATGAAATTGCTATTATTCAGAATAATGTTTCAACTCGAATCAGAAATGTTTCATTTTCCCACTCAGTTTTCAACTTCAGTCCACTCGACCTGAAGAGTCGTTGTTAGCGAAGACTCCATGCATTGGTTCATCCTTGTGTTGTGGAGAATTATTATTTTGTAAATCAACGCCGGTATTCCCCAGGGATCTATACAGTATCTACTTTTTTTATTTGCAAATCAAGACTTTTGGAAAATTCCGTTTAGGATAACGGAAACCAAATAAAATCTAATGTTAGCAAAATCCAGACATCATTTTTGAAACAATTATTTAAACTCATATATAGTTAGATTGGTTGTTTGGTGTTGATCAGTTTCCTGGATTTTTTTGGTGAGAGTTTAAGTTACTACGACATCAAAATGTTTTTTCTTTCATTCATCCATCATGTATCCCAATGAATTTGATCCTTCACTTCAGACAGCGAAAAAAGCGACTAAAATGAAGGTGTTTAAGTATTTGCTGATAGTGATGTGTAATTTTTCTGTTAACGATAATCAACCTGCAATAAAGATCATTCTGCTACAGAAGTTAGGAGTATAGGTTATCAATTTGGAGTTGAATGAGATTATATTTGTTTGCACTTTGAGTTTGATTGAAAAATCAGATATTCCAATTCTAAAATTGCCGGTCTTTGCAATGTCATCTCTATTACTGCTATTGTCTATATCAATTACGTTTCAGAGGTATCACCAAAGTTGCCTATGAAGCCATTATAGTTTCTGATATCTAAACCGATAAAAAGTCAAGTAAAAATCTAATTCAGGATGGAATCAATTTGAAGGATAACACAGAATTCAAAATCCAGAAAGTATCAATCTGTTACCCCCTCCTGGGCTGAGTGCCCTGGAGTCTCCACAAAATTCATTTTGTGGGGAAAACTTAACACACCACTCCATTCACCCCCGCTCTACGAGCGGTCCTCAATCCTACTGATGGGCACTTCAGCAAGATTGACATCTGACCGTTTTTGATCGAAAGTCAGCCTTTAGGTGATATTCTTTCTAATCTATTGAATTGTTTTGTCATTACTTTCCTAACTGAATTTTTGTATGGGGTCCCCAAAAACTAACCGGAGGCGAGTGTCTTTTTAATCGCGTAGGAGTATTGGTTCTCAGTGAGTCTGAAAGGGAGTTTAATTCGAACTGGTTGAGAAATTTTTATACTTACCGAAGCCGCCTGACAGCGACTCGCGGGGGTGGTCTTTGGTTCTGTTTCGTTAGCCTTCTGTGTTTGTCCCTTTCTCGGAATATGTTAGCTAATGATTCTATACATACATATACATAAAGAAGAACACCTTCAATCAGCTGTAATGTCAGAATGTTTCAGTTAATACATCACCAAGCAGGAACTACTACATATAATGAAGTTACTACCACAGTTTTCATCCCTTAACTTTCGGAGTTTGAAATAATCATAATTTTATTATCCACTGGAATGAGTTTGTAAACTAAATGTAGACCCTATATAGGTCTATCGTTTCCATTATCCCCAATCGAACAAATCTTCAAACCTTGCTTCATTTGGTTATGGGTGATTATTGTCAGACCAATGGCCACTTACAGAGCAATTGCTTGAAGGCCCAAAGGTTGCTGGTTGCTTACCTGCCCCTTGGTTTCTTTGGTGGCATCAGCATCATACCGTCAGCGGCCATGGAAATACTTCTAGACCCACCTCCTGTCCACCTCTTTCTGGACAACTTACATAATTGTGCATACTGTTAATTCTATGAAACAGGTTTATGCAGATTTTGGTAGTCTATTGGCTGAAAGTGACAGCATTCTGAGGATGACTTTTGACTCAATGTCTCCAACTGTCAATTAAGCTTGGACTCAATGCCTCCAACTGTCAATTGAAATCTGCTTCATAAGTTCTAATTTCTAGTAGAGAGGAATTGATCCTCCGGGAGGAGAAACTGTTACGAGTAGATAGCTGTTGGTTTACAATTGAATCGAAAACACCTTCAGGTTTTAGTGTAGGTGTATAGTGTGGCAGATCCATGCCACCATTTTTGTGTTTTCTATGTTGTGCCAGGTACTTCTGGTACCACCCTCGTATGTCAAACAGAAATCTACGCCTTTGATTTATGTGTTCAGCAAAGTCAGAAAAAATAGTTTAATGCGTTACTGATCAGCATAAATTACCATTGCCAATGAAATAACTTAACTACTGATTTTTATTTTCAGAATATGATGGATTGGTTTTCGTCGAAATGTGCCTGCATGAAAGGTCGTAGGAGGCCGGTCATCAACTACGAGTATTCAGAGAGTGATTCAAAATCCGTGTCCGACATCGAGTTGAAGGTTTCGAGCGAGCCACCCAAAAAACTCATTTTACCGAAGAAGAGAAATTGTTGGAAAATCAAGAGGCATATACCGAGGACAATTCTCAGATGGATTGGGCAAGACGACGAAATGAGTATGACGAAAATCGAAAAAAGTAAGTGTTGGCATTTTGGTAATAATGTATTATTTCTATTAGAGACAAATGGAAAAATAATAAGCTTTGCTGACGATAGAGTCATTTTATATACCGCTGAAACGTGGTAACAGAAAAAGATTTCGTCAATATATTTGACTGGTTTCAACACGAACAACTCACAGTCAACTTCGAAAAGAACAATGTTATTCCGTTTACTAGTTACAAAAGCAAAATGCCAAATTGCCAAACACTAGATGTGATTAAAACACCCAAAAAACCCAAATACACACTAAGTATAACATTAAATAAGTACCTAGGGAGTAACAATTGATTTAAAAATGCGATGGAATACTCACATAAACGAAGTCACAAAAAATATTCGACCATTGCTTTACAAATTCAAATTTCTAAAAAACATATTAGATATTACTCACCTCAAAATATTATGAATTTCACTAGTTCGGACTTCCATTGTCTACTATATAAAATGATTTGAAATCCCTGAAAAAACTCTCAGCTCCAGAGATTCGGCTACTCAAAACTTCCCTTAATACAACCATCACAAGGAAAAACATCGTCTTTCGTGAAGAATTCATGGCATTTTGTCGAACTACTAGGGTCAATTGTGGTCACACAGGAAGATCAACTAATTAGTTTCGACGTGGAAAGCCTTTACACCAACGTTCTGGTCGAAGAAGCACTCCAAATCATACAGAGAAAGCTATCCGAAGACGGGAACCTAAAAGAGAGAACGAATCTACCTATAGAAGTAATCATAGAATTACTAGGATGCTGTATTCGTAACTGTTATTTCCAACTGAAGGACGAATTCTTTACACAAGATGAGGGACTGCCAATAGGTTCGCCACTTTCACCAGTCATAGCCAACATAATATATGGAGTGGTTTGAAACTCTAGCCATTGAAGAAGCCCACAAGAAACCGCGAGTCTGGTTGAGATATGTTGACGACACCTTCATAATATGGAACCATGGGAATACTGAACTAGACGCCTTCCTGAAACACATCAACAGCGTGAGACCTTCCATCAATTTCACAATGGAGAAGGAAGTCCACAACGAATTGCCATTCTTAGTATCTGAACCACGAATCCAACCACCATCAATCGACTAAAAGAGGAATCGTCAAGACTCTATTAGACCGTGCTTTTGGGCTCTGTAATACGAAGGAAGGTCTTGAGAAGGAACTAGACATCATCAAAAATGATCTTCAACGGAATGGCTACTCCAAAGCGATGGTAGAAAAGACTTTGGCTATAAGACAGCAGGAGCCTCGCAAGGAAGAGAAGCCGTCACAACCAGTGCTTACACTTCCCTACATCAGAGGATTATCGGAGATGATAAGAAGAATTGGTTCTCCAAGTACAACATCAAAACCTGCTTCAGATCCGGTAACACTATCCGTAGCAGCCTCACGAAAATCAGGCCACCAAACGCGGACTGCGATTCCAAGAATTGCATTTACCGGATACCCTGTGAGTGCCGAAAATCCTATATTGGTGAAACTAAGAGGCCATTGAATGTTCGCATTGCCGAGCACAAGAAACACACACAGCGAGGGAAAACCAGCAAATCAGGAATAGCAGACCATGTTTGGACCCATCAACACAACATCGAGTGGTCCCAAGCTGAGATCTTGCACAGAGAGGAACATTGGTTTAGGAGAAAATTCAAGGAAGCCGCATACATGTTGTCCAACAACATATTCAGCCAAGCCAGCGTAGAAATACGCAACATATGGAAACCCATCATCAAGCGACAAATGGCCAACTCCCGCCAACACGGTCATCTCCCACGGAACCTGTGAAGCGGAAAATGGAAAGCGGGGGTAAGTGAAAGTACTCGAACGACCTATAAATAGTCATCTCTCGGAGGAATCAGTCCAGTCATCACCCGAAGACGATTGTAGATATTAACAATAGAAACGTCGTGAACTAACGTGACTTGGAATCTCTTCACTTTTTTATTTTTATTTTCTTTCTTTTTTCATTTTTTTCATTTCTTTATTTTTATTTATTCAATTGTTCTATTTTTACTTGTATTTTATTTCACTATTATTTCATTTCAGGTTTATTTTGGTTAATATAATTATTATTTTCAGCTACTCATTTTTAATTCTTCTTTTTTAGTTGTTTCTGGGATTTCAAATCATTTTATATAGTAGACAATGGAAGTCCGAACTAGTGAAATTCATCATGAAACATTGTCAATCACCTTCAAACAAACGTCAAAATATTATATCATGCACTGGTAGAATCACGCTTGAGGTACGTTTTCTTGTCTTGGGGCTCAGGAGCAAGAGTGCACTTGAAAAAATTAGATATCCTACAAAAACAAATTCTTAAAATAATTTGTAATAAAGTATATACATATTCTTCCAATGACTTTTTCATAGAAACACAGATATACATATACAATGTGATTTCTATACTTATAAAAACAAACATATGCTCCAGCAAATCAAACATACCTACAATACTGGCAATAAATCAAGGAAAGTCGTGAAAACAAATCTCACCAGAAAACAAATAGGACAAAGGTCATATACTTACCTTGGCGTTAGAATCTACAATTAATCACCAGAAATATACAAATTCTGCATCCACCGTATAAACTCCCTCGAAATGATGAAAATGATAATAAAAGGATACTTAGGTACATGTGACAGATAGACATAAAATACATTAACTTGTCGAATATTGAATACTGCTGTCTATTTTTATATTTTACTCTGTAAATGTATGTCTTACTATGTAAGTGTTTGTAAAAATATTTTTAAATTTCATAATTATTTTAAATCTTTAAATTACTGTTTTACTCAAATGATACATGTAATTATTTCTTTGGGAAATATTCTGTACAACAGACGGGAAATAATGACCCATGCGCAACCATTTGGTCCTAAATGGGTTTTCTCCGTTTGTTTGCAAATGACACCCAGATTTTTCATGCCATTATTGTAAACATTCTAATGCGAATGAACTTATTATTATTAATTCAACTTCTCGAAGTGTGTTTTATCAATTGTCGAAGCCAGTACAGACGTAAGAATCCACAGATGTTTCATTCAGGTGTAAACTTCATTTCAACTGAACTTCGATAAAGTTACATTAAAACATTACATAACTATTTGAATGGAAGGTCTCAATGCGTAGCTTTGGATAAAACTATGTCAAGTTTCTTGAATATATTTGCAGGTGTACCTCAAGGTTCAATTCTGGGTCCTAAGCTTTTTGTAATCTACTCATCCCAATTTCCAAAGTTTCTCCATCACACCGAATTTCATAGTTACGCTGATGACACCCAAATTTATAAACGATTTTCGAAATCTTCTGTAGCACTTGCATAGGAGGAAATGAATACAGATTTAAAATCCTTACTCACAACTTCAAAGCAGTATTGCCTGACAATTAGTCCCTCCATGACAGGAGTAATGCTATTTTCTCGAACAGCAATGAGGAATAGATATGAGAGAAATATCGATATCGTTCTGGACGAGAATCAGTTGCCTTTGACAGAATCTACGACAAATCTTTGGTTTCATAACTGACCAATCCCTTGAGTTCAACTCTCATGTCTCCCAAATTATAAAACGTGGCTATAGTAATTTTAAATCAATATACTCAAATAGGAAGCCATTGAATAAAAAATCTAAGAAAATATTATGCGATGCCCTAGTTCTCTCTCACGCCAACTATGCAGATATAATATATAAGATATTATATATGGCCCAGCGTTACGTTTATCTGCATCAGACTCATTACAGGAACAAGGATGATTCCCATTAGTTTTTTTATTGTTGTTAGTACTAACAGAAATGATCCTGCTACATTTGGCACTGATATATATCTAGGAAGTACGTATGTTGTGCATTTACAATATTTTTTATTTATTCATTTTTTTCGAGGTTGAATGGAAAAACAACTTCTGATTGAGTCATTCGTGCAAGATCAGATATTGAATTCTGCCTTTTGATAGGTACGTGGGTGGATTGTATGTATTGTATTCCATACAATATTTTGTTTTCCTTACCTATCAATAAAAACAATTATTCTTATTATATGGGTATATTATACGTGGCTCAACATATTAATTTGGAAGACTATCACATAGAACACAAAATGTCGAAGTTGATGATAACCTGAGTGAGACAATGAAAGTTGAAACAAGAGTACCGCAGGGAACAGTTTTAGGTCCCATATTATTTCTTGTTTACATCAATAGTACCTGTTTCATCAGTAACTTTGAAGACCATCTCATATTATATGCAGGCGATACAGCACTTCAAATGTCTTCAAATGTGGCCGTATTTCCGCGATTTCATCTTTCAAACGCTACAATGTACAGTATCCATTTTTCCAAACTAACGGAAGTTACTTATCCCAAAATGTTCTATCTCACTAACTGATAATCCGACAGCTGTGAAATTTGTACACCTTTTTTTGAAGGTTAGGGTTACCTAAGAATGATATGGATTCAACACTAATGGCGCCATCTGTGTGGTATCTTATGAACTATTAGTCTTATTTGATAATATGTAGCGTGTATCTTTGCCTATTACATGAGACGTTGTGTCGTACCTCGTTCGGTTCGGTTCGCAACGAACTGAATATGTACATTATAATGATAATAATAATAATAATATAGGCTGGATACAGCCCGTAAAGTCGTCAGGAGTTCGGATCCCCTTCTCTGCATGGTCCGTGACCGTGAGAGAGCAGGAATTGCAGCATTTCTCCTTAGGGCAGCTGATGAACTCGGTATACTTTTCGACTCTGATCGAGGTGACCACAACTCTGTTACCGAGTTGGAACCCGTTCAGCAAAAAGCTCAGATGAAAGTCGCAGAGATCACTTTACTTCTGCAGAGACACAAGGATAAGCCAATGCATGGGGTCTTCTTCAATAACATTGGAGACCTTGGCTTATCAAAGCGCCTGATGTTCGCTTTTCTCAGGTCGAGTGGGCTGAAGTCTGAAACTGAGGGGTTTATCATGGCT